GAGAGAGAGAGAGAGAGAGAGAGAGAGAGAGAGAGAGAGAGAGAGAGAGAGAGAGAGAGAGAGAGAGAGAGAGAGGCAATGGCTGAACGAAGGCGGGCGATGCCACGCCCGTCGCGAACGGGCGCGGCGGACTTAGGAATGGATCTGGTGAGAGCAGGACACGTGGCAGGTCCTGGATGGAGTTTTCCTGTTCGAGAGGAAGACGAAGGCCCACCAGGCGCTGGCAAGGTGGGAGGAGTAGGAGGAGTAGGAGGAGGAGGAGGAGGAGAAACTGGAAGCCTGAGTGGAACTAGTTTTCACTCACGATCCCTGTGGGGTGTCGACGAGGATGAGTACGAAGGGCAAGACCTTGATTGGGTTATGGACGAGGCGGCAACGATTGGTAGGAGGGAGGGAGGAGGGGGAGGGGGAGGAGGAGGTAGGGAGGTGCCCATCAAAGAGGGCTGGCCGATCGATGGCTACATAGACTCAGGTCTGGGGAACAAGCAAGGGAAGGCCTGGTTCGGATCCCGACCTGGTACTGCCATTCCCAGCCGCGGCAGCGTGATTTTCCATGGACTCGGTAATGTCGAGCCCTCTAGTTCCAGCGGTGATGAGGAGAAGATGTGGCGGGAGATTAGCTCGCCTGTGAGCAGAGGAGGTGATTCCACTTCCTCTCTCTACAGCCCCGAACGTGAAAGAGGAGGAGGAGGAGGAGGAGAAGAGGGAGGAGGAGGAGGAGGGAGAGGAGGGAGAGGAGAGAGAGGAGAGATTGATTGGGTGGCGTCCTCCTTGTACACAATTCGACAGATCAGGCAGAAGTGGCTGGTGCGTCGGGACAGCGAGAGCTCCGTCAGCCCGCTGCTGTGCGCCCCGGCACCCGACGCCGACCAGACCCATCGGGATCGGCATTACCAGCACGCAGCCACGTTGGACGAGATAGCACTGCGCGCCGGGAGGAGTGTGCAGAGGCTAAGTGTTGCCTCCGAACCGGCGAGACTCAGCAGAGTCGGGATGGTGGATGGGCGGGATCTTGATCATGGAGACAGCGTCACGACCAAAGGGAGCGGCAGCTTGACAGCTGGACTCCCCGCGAAGAAGGCACCGGCGCGGCAGGAAAGGAGGAGGGAGGAGGAGGAGGAGGAGGAGGAGGAGGGAGAGGAGGAGGAGGGAGAGGACGAGGAGGGAGAGGAGGGAAGAGAGGAGGAGGAGGAGGGAGAGGTTATGTCTGTTTTGGAGCACACCATCCGACGTGGTATTGTTCCCATCGCACCTGGTCGGGGAGCAGAGTTGAGACCTGGAACCGCGACCGCGACTGTTCAGGCGCACAAACGACGTTTCAGCGACACAGTCCTTGGAACCTACGGGGGACCGGGATCGGGATCCGGACGAGGTCCATGGAGCTCCTCCTCCGGTTGGGGAGGCGGGGGGGATCTTGGTGGAGGGCCGATGATGATGACAAGGCGAGGGGGAGGGGGGGGGGCGGGGGGAGGAGGGGGAGGAGGGGGAGGAGGAGCTTTGACTATAGATGAAGGCCGTCCGTTTGAAGGGGACACGCTGGATGGGTACGAATGGACGAAGAGAGACGATTGGTCTACTAATAAGAGGAAGGGGGGGAGGAGACTTGGGAGCGGAGGTGGTAGGGCTAGCTCGATGGCCAGGCCAGGGACAGCCGTGCCTCGTCGCTGGAGCGTGTTGTATCGGGATCTGGGCGCGATGGAGCCAGCCTCCCCCAGCCAAGCTCTTCCCGATCTAATGGATAGCGACGGGGGTTCGCCGAGATCGCAGCCGCGCCACGTGGGCGGCGGCATCGAGGTCCCAATCATCTCTGTGCACAGCGGAGGACTGTCTGACGGCGACTCGGATGGACCTGAGACAGGAAGAAGCCAACCTTTGATGGGAGAGGGAGGGAGAGGAGGAGCAGGAGGAGGAGGAGGAGAAGGGGATCTCCTAGCTTGGAGGGGCTCCGGCCGTCAGATGGACACAAGTGGGAACAGCTCCCCTAGCCCGAAATCGGACAACTATCGGCTGCTGGACGTGGACGAGGTGGAGGTCGTTCGGATCCGAAGTCACTCTCTGACTGCGACGGGACGGCCGACCGGTCCTCCGCGCTTGGACGTCGATGACTTAACATCTACCTCCCTCCTCTCCTTGCCTTCAGACCCCCCACAAGATGAAGATGGAAGATGGTCGAGCTCTCCGGCTGTAGGCACTGGCAGCCATAGCCAGACCATGGTGGACGACACATCGCTGCTGCCGGTTGGATCAGCCTCCATCTACGACTCTTCCTCCTCCGACGAGATGAGTCCGTCGGAGCACGGAGAGAGTCGAGACGTGGACAGCCGGGATGCCGACAAAGCGGTCGCTTGGCACGACCGCAAGACCAGCGCTGATCGAAAGGCGGAGGACCGGTCGGCCTGGCACGACCGCAAGTCGGACACTATTACCATACGGGTGGAGCGCGAAGACAGCACAGGAGGTCAGCCCAGTGCCTACAGGAAAACACCCTTGCAGCATCTCCTCCCCGGCAACAAGGTACAGTATAATCCCAAAAAAAAAAGAGAGATCCAGCTAACAAACCACGCAATAACTGTACCCAATGACTAAAACCCGTACTACTTGACATAGCTGAAGTGAAGTGCATAGTATGCTATAGCATGCTATAGTATGCTATAGTATGCCATACTAAGCTATACTAAGCTATCCTATGCTGTACTATTATTCGGAATAGACTAGATTATACTGTATATGTCCTGTGTAGTATGCTTCACTACGCAAGAGGTTCTGAACAGGGGGAGTTGTTAGGAAGAAGAAAAATGAATTGATATTTTTTTGTTTCCTTTGTTTGTTTTTTTCGCTTTTGCGCTCTGATATCTATGTGACGATATATACAGTGTGCTATACTGTTCTATACCATAGTCGACTGTCGTATACTACATTATACTATTACTCTACTCTCCTCTCCTCTACTCTACTGTACTAAACACTATACTCTATTTTGCTGCTGAAGTCGACTATACTCCTCAAATCTACTATTAGTCTATTATTATACTATATATTATACTCTAATCTGGTCGGCTATGCTACTCTACTCTACTCTACTCTACTCTACTCTACTCTACTCTACTCTACTTTACCATACTATTATGACCCTATGCTATACTGTGGTGAGCATACCATACTTAAAGGATGCTATAGTGCAATGCTCTGTCGTGTACTGCACTGTAGTATAGTATAATATAGCACGAAGTCATGGACTATACAACCAGACTATGGTAGTATAGAATGCGATATTGTACTTTTCTATAAAGAGTGTGTTGCCTTGCGATACGAAGTGTACTCCTGAATTAGCTGTTGCTTGTGAAGTTTGGAAAGAGATTAGATTTGGATTTGAGGGGCTAAGAAAATACTACTGTAATTTTTTTTGGGGAGATTACATGAGATGTTGCTATGCCAACTCTACTATAAGGCACTGCCTTGTGTCTCTGCTACACTGAATGGTACTTCACTTACCACATTACTATACTGTGCCTGTGCCTATGCCTATGCCTGTGCCTTTGCCTTTGCCAGTGTGCCTGTGCCTGTGCCTATGGCTGTGCCTGTGCCTGTGCTGTGCCCGTGCCTGTGCTGCACTACCCTGCCATATATCATACACAGTGCAACAAAATGCTACTGTGACATACATCATACACCGTGCAACAAAACATCTACGTAATACTATGAATGCTATGTGCTACTATGCTATGAGCATGCTATCATATGGCTATGCTGATGTACCGGCAGGTAGATGCAAGGTACTGCACTGTGTGATTTATGTTTTATCGTATGGTGCTGACTGGGAGTTTTGTTTGTATAAACTATGTATCACTATGTAAATACAATGAATACTATTTAATACTACGCAATACTGTGTTATGAGCATGCTATCATACGGCTATGCTGCTGTACCAGTAGCTATACGCAAGGTCCTGCACTGTGCCATTATGTTATATCGTATTGTGCTGACCGGGAGTTGTGTTTGTACAAAGTAGTTATGGGTTAGTGTGAGGATGCGAATTTGGCAAAAAAGGGTTGGGCCCTCTCCTTCTTCCTCGTGGTGCTAAGCTGTAAACTGTAACGGTAGTTTTGCAGATGAGGGCTGAACGTCCTGCAGCTGACGGGTAACTGGTAGGCGGTCTGCCGACTAGTCGCAAGAGGGGTATCCGCTGAGTTTTCATATAATCTGAGTTTGGGGCTGTACTGCTCTTGCTAAGTACAGCCCAAATCCGGTGAGAAACTTCTGGGAAGGGGGGAAGGGATTATGGGGGGAGGGGGGGAGTGTATAGGGGGGTATGCAGGGGTTGAGTGGGGGTGATATTGGGGTTGTTGGTGGCGGTTATGGGGGTGTTAGTGGGGTTATGGGGATGTTAGTGGCCAGTATGGGGATGTTAGGGGGCTTAAGGGGGAGGGTGGATATATGGTGGTCTCGCTTTCTTTTCTTTTTATATCTTTTTTTTCTGTTTTTTTGCTGCGTGGCTACCGAGAGCGGACTAACACGTGCCGACGGGTGGATCGGTCGGCTGGTAGGCCACCCACCAATCGAGGGGCACTTAACCATCGGCGGGACTACTCTGCTGTAAACCTTAAACTATGAACTACAACCGTAAACCGTAAAATCCTAAACCCTAAACTGTGAACCCTGAACCCTGAACCCTAAACCCTAAACCCTAAACCCTAAACTGTGAAGTTGTGTAAAGTCTATACCCTATACCCTTAGCCGTAAACCCTAAACCGTAAACCCTAAACCCCTTAACGCTTCACCCTGAGTGCTAAACCCTAACCCTAAACCTGGGTTGGAAGCTTCTATACTGTAAACAGAGCGTGTGACAAGCTGTGTGGCATGTCACCCCTGCATGTTGAACTGGGTGACAAGCTGTGTGGCCCCTTTGTCTGTCAGTGAAAATGTGCAAGTGTGACATGTGGGGCTGACCTCTCCCTGGGATTGTGAATTTTCCAAAGTGGCTAACAATCGCTGCCGTCTCTGCCGTCTTCCCTCGAAGACAACACACTCTCGTCATGCCTGTCTGGAACTGGAAATCTATAGCTTGTATACCTTCTCTATTGTCTTCCTGAGTACTCTCTCTCTCTCTCTCTCTCCCCGAGATTTGATAAGAGAAACAGTGACTTCTAGCAGACCAWGWGATTGTTTCTYTTTTCCTACCAATACYAACTGCTCTCTCTCTCTCTCTCTCTCTCTCTCTCTCTCTCTCTCTCTCTCTCTCTCTCTCTCTCYCCCCACCCCCTCCCCCAAGGTTTCATAGGAGAAGCAGAGGCACTAAGCAAGCCGCCAAGGGATTGTTTCTTATCTCCTACCAATGCTAATTGCCTTGAGATTACGCTTGCTGTCTTGACTCTTTTCAGCTGGTTCATCATCACATCAAGAAGCGGTTGCAGAGGGTCCGTAAGCGAAGCAGAGACAGTGGAGACGAAATGCTTAATTCGATCGAGTTTCATCCGCTTACCGCGTGGCAAAAGACCTTGAGGCTGAAGTGCTCCACCTCAACTGGAGGTGTAGGAACTGCATTGCCACAACAAGGGACTCGGTCGACATTGGAGGTGGGTGACGGCCTGCCGCATCGACATCTCTGGGAGCCCGAAGTTTCCAGGAAATCACCAATGAGGTCTGCGGCGGGAATGGACAGAAGTGAAAGTGGGAAGAAAGATAGCATAGGGCGTGGCATTGGAAAAGTCGGCGATGAAGGGACGAAAGGGGGGGTCCCGGATGGAACTGCGTCGAAGAAGAGTGCAAAAGTGTGGGCCAAGCGAACGTCTCCGGTGAGGGGATGGGGTGCTCGTGGGGAGGTGTACTATGGATCATGGGTGACGGACGCAAGAGGACAACCTGTCTTTAAGATGGACCCTCCTGTCATGAAAGGATCTACGGCAAGAATTGCATTTTTCAGAAGGCAACACATGCTCAGTACGGCATTGGGGAAGACGGGCCACGATGATGCGTCCAGCAGTGGCGGCAGCGATGATGTCAGCATGGTTCCCTGGGATGAAGATTCCGACGTTGTAAGTTCGGCTGACCGTAGATATCGGCGGACATCTGTTAATAACGGAGATAGGTCCAGGCATCCTTCCAAAGCATCAAAAAAGGGATCAAGGGTGGACCGCCACGGCGGGATGAAGTACAGTGACGATGTGTGCATGGCATCATTCTGGCCTTTCCTAAGAAGGGCACTGGATCACCACAGCAGGTTTGCAGACTTACGATGACATCCATGTTCACTGCTATCCATGCCTTCTCTTTCTGTTTCCATTTTTGTTTCTGTGTCCTCTGTAGGACGATGTAATTGCCACTTCCCTCCTCTCTCTCTCTCTCTCTCTCTCTGTCTTGCTGTCTCTTTCTCTCCCCGAAGATTGCTGTCATCATCTATGTGGGAATGTCTGCAGATCCCTACACGGATCTTGTATCCGTTTTGATCCTACCCTGTTCTGAATGCAAAGCTCGACTTGAGTGGATGTTACTTATTGCAATTCAAGAAGAAGTGGAATACAACAAAAGAGAGAAGAGAACGAAGAAGAAGAAGAAGAAGATGAAGAAGAAGAAGAAGAAGAAGAAGAAGAAGAAGATGAATTAAAGATTCCACCAGCGCTATTCACATAACTCCTCCTCCTCTTCGTTGTTAAGCAAAATTAGAATCAATGTTCAAAAGACCCCCTTACTGCCTTTGTAGAACGATTCACTCATGTTGAGTTTTGCATCAAAGAAATGGGCAGGACGAGAACAGATACACTATCTGTATGAGGATTGACAGTCATATACATAAAGATGATGGCGGCAATCTGAGTCACACACACACATGCATATGCCAAATCCTTGCGAGTATTGATTTGCATGATGATTTTTTTGGCAATTTGAGCCTCAAAGAATCGAAGAGAAGGATATATTTGGAAAAAAGTAAGGACAGGAAAGGCCGGTACTGCTGAGGGGATTGAGTAGCGGAAATAATGGTTATACTACGGGCCCATTGAGGGGATTTGAAGGATGATGAGGATTTCGTACCTTAAGGGTTTATTTCGGGTTTTCAAAGAAATGGAACCAAGGCGGTAGGCGCAGTACCCCCCTGAAATGGTTTTGATGGGTCAGCGCGTGCGTGGGGTTGGTTCCTCCCATGTACGGGGCATCATAATGTCCCCCGAACGGAGGAACTTAGCAAGGACCTACGGACTATATGAGGCAGGAATGATACGGTCCTTTCCGAAGCGTACGAGGGTAAGCGGTAATTCCGCAGGGGTGCGCTATCGTCCCAAGCGGTGGCCGGCCTCTGGGGAATTACCGACTCTCCGAGCATGACGAACAGGCGACCATCGCCTACTATGGGTTTCAAGCAACGTGTGCAGTGTCCGATACGATACGGGGGAGAGAGGACGTTAGTGAGGGTGAGAGCGAGCGTGGTGGTCTCATGCTCACTGGCATTCATCTCCAGCAACCCTGGGGCGGTGCTGACGTGTGAAGCGGCGGTAACAATTGCTGTTGTTACAGCACCAACGAGGGTATCAGTGAGGTGTACACCGGAGGGAGTGATAACGTGGGACTCGCAAAGGGAACACTGAACCATGGAGGACGCTCTGTCGTTCGAGGAGATGTTGGGGGATCATCTGAGGGAGGAGGAGTTATTGGAAGAATCGCAGGGAGAAGCACCCCCTGAGGTGATGTATTCAACACTATTTTTACTAGTCCTAGTGCTAATCTCATTGTGAGTTTGGTAATGATCGGGTGATGAGACGGGTACTTACTGACCCAGAATGTATTTTCGTGTGTTGGAGAGATTCCTGGTCTCAAATAGCAGGTTGAACGATTGTGCTTGAATATCTTTTCCTCTGATGAGCTGGCGAATGTGGCAAGTCAGCGAAAAACTGGTTTTAGGGAACTGCCACTACCCCTAGCCGCTCGTTTTTCCGCAGCTTTGGTTTACCGGCTCTAAGTGTGGCCAAATGGTGAACCAGGGGTACCAGGAATCCGTGAGAAATGAATGCATGATTCCGTGATTAGTTTTAGTCTATGATGACTCACCCAAACGTATGACTCTGTGCTGTGATGTCCTTGATTCTGTCGTGTTGCTCCTTGCCTTGCGTCTGGTGATGGGATTATGTTTGGGGGAATCTTGGTAGTTGCTGTATGCAGATGAGCTGGGTGGATGAAGGGCTGTACAGTGTCAGGATGCTATCGACAAAGGATTAGTTTGCTCGGTCCTGAAGCCCAGTCAGTACTCGACGACTGGATCTGTCGCGAAACGCTGATGATGGCTTTCGCACAGAGAAAGAGGTGTCCGCTGGTATATGAGTGGGAGAACGGGGAAGTGAGGATGAGCTTGTGAGTGGGTGCTTTGGTGGTAGTAGAGGCTCTTTGGTGCGCCGGTGGAGTCGAGTACTGAGAGACTACTCCCCAAAAGGAAAGCGCGGGGAGGGAGGTGGATAGTTCCGAGGTGATGGACTGAAGGGTAGAATGGGGATGGCGTAGCCACCAGGAGCGGACGGTGTTGTGACTATATGGAATGAGGGATGTAGTATCGCTGGATTTAAGTAGACCTAGCTTTCCCTGTAGTTCGGATTTATTTTGTTAACTTTTCTCTTCCGCGTTCTTCCTGTTTTATTTTTTATTTTTTATTCTTTATCTTTATCTTTGTTTTTACTTTTATTCTTTTCATTCTTTTAATGTCCTGTATGCTCGTTGGGTGGTCATAATATTTGTTCCCTTTGCATGAGAACTGCGAGTGGGTTGTGATGTTGGGTGGCGATGGTGAGATCCAAGTAACGAGCGGGCAGAAGGGGAGGGGGGGATCGTTGAAGCTAATGAGAAGCATGAGAGCAGTGCATTTGCATCTCGATCTACGATTCGTGTGTAGTGATGTGTTCTGGTTGGAAAGGCATGTGATAACAAGGGATGGATCAGGGGGGAGCAAACTGCTGATGTGAGTGCCCTTATGGAGGGATGAGTGAGGACGATTGTTGGGTGTTATAAGTGAGAATACGGGCACGTCTACTAAAGGTGACGGGTTTTGTGCAAGGGGACTAATCTTTGTTTGGACGATTGCAACCAAGATGGGGCGAATGGAGAGGGGATGGGCGTTGTTGTGGGAAGATAGGCGCAGCAGGGAAATGGCGGCGGAAGTATCTGTGTAGTTTGTTCTCTGTCATTTCTCCTTCTGACTACGGTGGGGGGAGTAGTTTTTCGGATTTCTCGTTGTCTTTCGTTACGATTCTTTGAGAGTTTTTCCGTTGTATGATTTCTTGCTTTTTACGAATGATTTGTCGTTTTTCTCTTAGCATTCTTTTCATTCTTTTCTTTTCACTCTTTTCATTCTTTTCATTTGTTTTGGTCATTGTGACGTGCGATATTGAGGAACGAGTGTAACGTATTGGTCGAAGTGGATGAGACCCCAGAGGGTATGGCAACGGGGGAGGCGCGTCTTACTGGGTTAATCTTTATCGGTGTGAGTATGGCGTTTGCAAATCTCCGGGGGATGTGTGTCAGAAGTATGAGGGAGTGTTGCCAGGCGTTATTTCTGTAGGTAGTAGTTCACGAGGTTAGCTCCGTGTTCGGATGGAGTAGGGAGAGCATATTCTTAAGGACGAAGGGGGAACGAATATCGACGGAGTAGGCGGGCATGTCGGGTGACGTGTAATGAGCAAGGGGAGCTTATTGGGAGTTTGCTCTCTCGATCATTTGTATCCAGTTTCCTGGTGGACGTTCTCAAAGGAAGATGTTACGAGAGTGCAGCTTCAGTAGTAGCAGAAGATAGGATGGTTGGTTGTTTACTTGACATTCGAGGTGGTAATGAGATAGGAAGGGCGTAAAGTGATGGTTGGTGATTATGATTGGGGCATGACGGAGGTATGGGAAGGATTGTGTCTCCATAAGTGGCTCGGCTTATGCGAATCTTGTTCTGATTAGGAGTAATGGTTTGAGATGTTGTTCTGAGTATGAGTGCTGTGGCAACATGATCATTACAATATTTGGGGTGCAGAATCTGCGCATGCGCTCTGTTGTGTAACGGTCTGTCTACCATTGGCTTGTTGACGTATTCGTAGTGAGCTAGTCCGTGTGTGTTGTGAGTATGTTGCAATCCCCATGAGTCGGTCATCCACCCCATCCTCTTGATGCGTGGTTTCTCTTGAGATTAGTTGGGTCTCTTCCTTATGGGTATGTTGGGGTGGTTGTGTGTCTCAGTCCAAAAAAAAGGGTCCTTCTCTCCGTCACAAATATGTGGGTATGGCGGTGGTTGCGTGATTTAAACCAAGTTTAACCATACCCTGCATAGTGACCATCGAATGAAGTTTTGAACTTAGTGCAACTATGGGACAATGGCTCTATTAGAATAATCACCTTGCAATGATGATGACGGAGGTAATTGACACAGTCATTGGCTGCAATTCCCGTAGGTTGTAACATGGTATGGTGTGCACAGGTATGTGCACTGAAGCTACGTCGAAGTGTGTTTACACACACAGCATCACACACACACACACACACACACACACACACACACACACACCTGTCTCTTATACACATCTAGATGTGTATAAGAGACAGGTTATGGGGATGTTAGTGGCCAGTATGGGGATG